CTTGCATATAGATTGGACTTTGGCCTAGTATTAGATGTGAAAATAGATAATAATAGATATAGATATGGAGCCTAGATTAATTTGAATTTAGGACCTCGTACTATGATACAAAGCAAAAATTTTGTGAGATCGCTACCAACTACTCTAAAAGCTTATACTATTGGATGAAGACATTGCTTAATATTTTAAACACTCCTCCTTCTACGCAGATAGCACTTTGGCCTAGTACTAGATGAATTCGTGGTTTAATATTTTAAACACTCCTCCTTCCACGTGAAAATAAATAATAAAGGAGGCAAATACGAAGCTTGGAATGATTTGATTTTAGGACCTACTACTCTGATACTAAGTAAAAATTTTGTGGGATTACTGCCAATTACTCTAAAAGCTTAAAGTATAAGATAGATGCGTTGTTTAATATTTTAAATATTTTAACAGTTAATTGTAACAGCATCTAGAAATAATTTCTTGACCTTGGAGAAGGTTGAGGCACCAATAGCTATATATTATTGAATGATGAAAAGAAATGAAAGACAAAGTGCATAAGTTCTTAAATTGAGTGCTTAACCGATTTCTTAAGGGGATAAGAATAACACAAATGTCATAAGTTTTGTATGGCACTCACTTGAGTGCCACAAATTTTTTTTTATCACTTGAGTGTCATATTCATGTAAAATTGTCTACTTGAGTGCCTATTCCAGCAATTCGTTCTACGTGGCTTTCTTTTTTTTAAAAAAGATTTAAGTTTGACGCGGCTTTTCTATTTAAATATTAGGGATATGTGCACTGGAAGTCCTAAAACTTGTCACGTAAGTGCAATTGAATCCTAAAATTTTCAAAAAGTGCAATTAAGTCCCGATACCTATCAAGTTGGTGTAATCAAGTCGTAAAACTTGTCAAGTTTGTGCAATTAAGTCCTAAAACTTATTAGCATTTTTCATTTGTTAAGTTAATTGGAGTTAATGAAAGGACTTGATTGCATCAACTTAATAAGTTTTAGGATTTAATTGTACTTTTGTGATTAGTTTTAGGATTTGATTGCACTTATTGAAAGTTTAAGACTCGGTTGCGCTTTCATAACAAGTTTTAGGACTTCTTATGCATTTATCCCTAAAAGTTAAGTCCAAAGCAGACGACGCTCACATTCCAACTCATTAATTTCCTCATAAACGACGACGTATCTATCCTCTTTTTCTCTCCTTCTCTATGTTCTCTGTCTCATGTATAATCTCTCTCTCTCTCTCTCTCTCTCTCTCTCTCTCTCTCTCTCTCTCTCTCTCTCTCTCTCTCTCACCCTGAAAGTGGGGCAACAACATTGATTCGAAGATTTTCGACTCGCCTATCCTTCTTCCTCATTCAAGATGAGCTCGTCCGATTTCCTGATAAACCAAGATGCCGATCAAAGTTTTGCTTCGCTCTCTTCTTCTGCTCGATTGATTGATTCTTTCTCTATTTCTGATTGAGTCTTTTCCTTCCGCTATGAACGAATATGTACAAAAAATCAATAATATGTTGTAGTTTTCTTTTCTTCCCCTTTGGAATCAAGTGACAAAATCGATCTTAGACATTATCACTCATGCTCGAAATCAAAATCCTTTCGATTAAGTTAGGGTTTCATCTTCAAATCGATATGGGGTAACAAAATGGCTAAAATGACATCGTTTATAGACTCTTTTGCTGACTTCATCTCTTTGGCGAGTCACGTCGGCATATTTATATTAAATTAATGTCATGTCAGAATTTCTAGCTATGCAATCGCCAATGACACTTAAGTGAACGATTTTTAATCAATGTGGCACTTAAGTGATCGAAAAAAAAAATTATGGAATTCAAGTGAGCACATGTGAAAGGGACAACATTTGTAGTGCTCTTATCCCATTTCTTAAGAACTAAGAAATGATATCACTCAAATTGTGTGCCAGCATCTACATAATTTCAATGGAAGTCAAGTAAACAAAATGACTTTGGCAAGGAGCTACTTAAAAACAGTTCGGAAGTTCTCTTTTGGAGAATTTGACTGAAAAACATGTTATTCTTAACCTAGATGCAGAAGTTCCTCCATTTAAACCAAGTTATACGTAATACATTGATTCAGAGCAAACTAGCACCAGCTTCGATGCCTCACTAACAAAAACTAATATTCCACAAGTCGGCTATAACGTGTGATTAACGAAGATGACTGGTCAATGACGCAGAAGGTTGAAACAGTTAGCATGGAATTCAACTTGGAACAGCAAGCATGACAGCGATGGGTGCCGCTCGCTTAAATGGTATTAGAAAAACTTTTTGATGATTCGATGTAGTATTGTAACAACTAAAAACCCTAGACGTGTTTAAGTAAAACTCTATGTGTTAGAGTGGAATTTGGTCCGTCCAGAACCATTATTCTTGAATCACAAATTGGGCATTACCCAATTGTAGGCAAACGGTTTCCTTCTTTTGTGCCCTAACCGACCTGCTCACTCAGGCCAAAACTGGGTTCATGAATTAAAGAAACAGTACTTTGACCCAAAAAAATTAAAGAAACAGTACGAGTTGCAATTAGTCAAGGATTCTATATATAGAGGGAGAAATTGATTAATTGATTTGAGAACTAAGCAGACATTTCTAGGCCTATCGAGCCACTTAATTTCCAAGAAGAATGCCCACTCGAGATCGTGTTCCCCTTCAATTTGAGAAAAGATTTTGTAGACTTGTTTGTGGACGATGTGATTGATAGAATCACATTAAGAAAGGGAAAATTACCAAAAAAGTCCTCAACCTATTGCATTTGTGCCAATTCAGTCCTAAACCTTTCAATTTGGCCAATTTAGTCCTAAACCTTTTGCAAACCAGCCAATTCAGTCCTTTTGGCCGGCCAGCGCTGACGTGGCCGCCGGCTGGCTAACGTGGCGCCGGCCGGCCAACACGTGGTAATATTTTAATATTTTTTTATTATTCTTTTCGAATTTTTTTCTTTTCCTTCTCCCCCCTGGCCTGTCCGGCCAGGGGGGAGGCTCGCCGGCCAGGGCCCAGCTCCGGCGAGGCGAGCTGGGTCCTCGCCGCCGCTGGGCGAGGGCGGAGCTCGCCCTGCCATGGCGAGCTCCGCCTCGTCCAGCTCCGGCGAGGCGGAGCTTGCCCAGCCATGGCGAGCTGGGCGAGCGGCGAGGGCCCGGCTCGCCATGGATGGCGAGCTCCGCCTCGCCCGGATCTGGTGAGGCGGAGCTCGCCATGGCCGGGCGAGCTCGCCTCGCCAGATCCGGGCGAGGCGGAGCTCGCGTTGGGCCGGGCGAGCTCCGCCTCGCCCGTCGGCGAGGCGGAGCTCGCCATGGCCGGGCGAGCTCCGCCTCGCCGGATCCGGGCGATGCGGAGCTCGCCTTGGCCGGGCGAGCCCCGCCCTCGCCTAGCGGCGGCGAGGCGGAGCTCGCCTTGGCCGGGCGAGCCCCGCCCTCGCCTAGCGGCGGCGAGGCGGAGCTCGCCTTGGCCGGGCGAGCTCCGCCCTCGCCAGGCGGCGGCGAGGGCCTAGCTCGCCTCGCGGAGCCGGGCCCTCGCCAAAGAGCCTCCCCCTGGCCGGATAGGCTAGGGGGAGAAGGAAAAGAATAAAAAAGAAAAAGGAAAAATTCAAAAAGAATAATAAAAAAATATTAAAATATTGCCACGTGTTGGCCGGCCGCGCGCCACGTCAGCCGGCCGGCCGGCGCCACGTCGGCCGGGCGGCCACGTCGGCGCCGGCCGGCCAAAAGGACTGAATTGGCTGGTTTGCAAAAGGTTTAGGATTGAATTGGCCAAATTGAAAGGTTTAGGACTGAATTGGCACAAATGCAATAGGTTGAGGACTTTTTTGGTAATTTTCCCCATTAAGAAAGGTATCTTGTTTTTTGCGGATCCAAAATAAAGTAAACTCTATTACTTTTTGATATGTCATTAGCTTGACCAAGTACGACAAGTTGTGAAAACAGTACTTTTAGTTCATAAAACCATATTTACCCTTGCTAAATTTCATGCATTCTAGACTTTTAGAGAAAACATGCGGTACATAATAGGAAATTCTTTTTTGATACAACTGACTCTAATTATGCATCTTTTTGTTGATGCCCGATACTTAGAATTTTAAATGAACTGAGCTTCCTTTCATGATCTCCCCTATGCGGGTTGTAATTCCCAAGAGAAATACTTATCTTGTCCACAATTGGGAGGATAATTCTCAATACAATGTTAATAGAACAAGCAAATTTTAGTATTAAACCCAATTATGGACACAGGAAAGCAAATCATATGTAAGTTTTGTCAAATCGCAATAGCTATGAAATCAATCTAATTTTTCAATTAAAGAGAATTTATAAATATATAAACAACTAAGAAGGAGCATCTTTAAGAAGCATGTAATAATTGCATCAGCAAAAAACACAAATAAGAATTCTTTGCTGGCTTCTGTTTCCATTTCTAATAATTCCTTTCTCCAATTAGACAATGAATTGTAAGAATGATTTATGAGATAAATTTCATGAAAGAAAAATTCCGAATTAATAAGAAAAAATTTGCAGTATCGAAAATATTGCTTTTCTTGTGTTTTGTGTAATCAATGTTTTGAAGATTGAAATAATTATTACTAAGTATATTGGGAGTACTCATCACAAGACCCTTAATAAATTGCTGCCCTGATTATGTGATGTACTTTTTATTAATCGAGTGGTGAATGTGACTCATTATTTTTAGGACCACCTATCATATGACAAAATCACTTAGCACATCAATTTTGTATATTAAATCCTTAGAGTCCTTCTAGTAGAGCCGTGATTGCGTTGTAGTTCCATCGTGCTGTGCATACTTATGCTGTGATTTCTTGTACCTTGAGCGTTTACATGTTTTGAACTCACAGGACTTTTCATCGGAGCGAGGGTGGCGATGAAACTGCGTCTGCGAAAGAACTGCGGCTGTCAAGCGTTGGCCAACGCTCGTTTCTCGCATCACTTCGTGTCTCGTCCTTCACATAACCGCGTTGACTTTGCCATCGGGTGCAACAGTTTGCAGAAGACACGTCATCATTTCACTCGTCTTGGTCTCCTCTCTCCTGCACTCTCCTTCAGAAACCCTAGATCATCTCAACCCTTTCCTCCTGCACTCGATTGCTATATATACATGACCTACTTGCTAAATCAAATATCTCACCTCACCCTGCTAAAACCTTATCTTCTTCACTGTGTTCAACAACATAGAGTCTTTCACTACTGATCCAACTTGAATCCCCAGGACACAAAACAACCAGATATGGAGGAGTATCCCACGGGTTTCAGGTTCTATCCAACTGAGGAAGAACTCATTTCGTTCTACTTGCACAATCAGCTTCACGGCCTTAAGCAAGACAAGATTCACCGTGTCATCCCAGTCCTTCATATTTTTGACACCGAGCCATGGAATCTCCCGCGTAAAACACAATCCGCTGCAAGATGCAATTCTTTCACATCCCCTACGTTAATTGAATTAGGCACTAAACTGGGTTCTTGAAAATTTCAAAACTTGCAGCGCATCACCAGTAAACTTTCTTTTCCCCCTATTTTATTTGGTGGATTTGTGCTGCAGAGCTTGCGGGAGAGCTGTGCAGAGAAGACAGAGAGCAGTGGTTCTTCTTTGCGCCTTTGCAGGAGAGAGAGGCAAGAGGAGGTCGGCCCAGCCGGAGCATGGCCACAGGCTACTGGAAGGCTACTGGGTCTCCCCGTTATGTCTACTCGTCTGACAACAAGGTGATCGGCGTGAAGAAGTCCATGGTTTTCTACGTGGGAAAAGCGCCCACTGGAAGAAAGACCCAGTGGAAATTGAATGAGTACAGGGCCATTGAACTCTCGCCGACCAAGCCCAATTCCACGAGCAGTAATATTTCCATTCCCAAGGTGAACGTGCTATCAAGAAATTTGGACCTTTATTTCAACTTTTTCAAATATAGAAAGGATAAAATAACTTTGCGTTCTTGACACCTAGGTTATCCAATTTTCACTTTGAATAATCGTTCTTGCACTATTGAATTTCCGTCTCTAGTTTAGTTCCTACTAGGACTTTCACAGAAAAATGCAACAAACAATTTTCTGTGTTTGATTTTCTGGAAATAATGTACTTACAGCTGAGATATGAATTCACATTGTGCCGAGTGTATGTTGTGTCCGGGAGCTCTCGAGCATTTGATCGCCGGCCACCAAAAGCAATGGCTGGAGAGACAACAATCCAGGGTGGCGACAACGCTGCTATTAGCAGAGGCGGTGGATGTGGAGATGCATCTTCATCAGGAGTAGTAGCAGCCAATGTAGGAAGTTCCCATCAATGGGAGACGGCAAGTTTGGAAGGACCAATTTGGGATTGGGAGCAACTGGATTGGCTCTAATTTCATGTAGAGGTACTATGATGATGTAGCTTTCTGGTTATCGATGCAATCATATGTATATCTATGTGTACGGAGACATTGTGCTTGATACCTAATCAATAGGCAAGCCGAACATAATATCCAGCCTAAATATTGAAAATGAATCCTGAGCATCTGTGTTTTTTCATATAATATTGATTGGGCCTAGTAGGTCTAACTCAATCGACTAGGCCAAGAAGAAAACTGATTCGTCTTTTTTGAGCAGGTTCAGCAGACCTCGATATCTAATTAAATAAGAAAGATATTTGTTAGCAAGCTTCTTCATATATCAATCTTTTTAAACTTGATGGTCGATGTGTCAAGGAGCTTGTGAGATGGTTTATAAGAGAATCATTTGATCAAAATTGTACACCACAGTCAATCAAAATCTAGCAAATTAGGGTTAGTAAAATGTTGGAGTATATTTTAAAATAACAAAGAAAAATTGAGATATCTCCAATTATACGATCTATAGTTCCGTTGCATTTGTATAGTGCACTCGATCCTTTAAAATTTTTTTATTGATAAAAATTCATTGCTTTGCCGTCAAATACTAACTAAGTTAACATAAAAAATAAATAATTTAAATTAGTAGGAGGTGCGTTTATATCAACATTTATAAAGAGTGATTAAACAGAATTGCATTCGACAACTGAAGTGCAAAAGATATTCTTTCCATCTCATAATATAGCTGTACATATTGTTTTCTTATCAAGATTTCCGAAAGAAAGATTACAAAATCATAAAGGAATTATAAGTTTCTTATATTTATTATCACATGTATGTATTTTTTAAAATATATTATAGGGTACTCTGTATCTTTATGCAATGTTCTCCCACAAAAACCCTAGATTATGACGGTTGATATTGCATTATGTCCGGAAGTGTAATTAAATATATATTTTTTAAAGATTTCTTTCATAAAAAACTTGCTTTATGTGTCACTTGAATAAATAAGGAGAAGTATAAAAGCGAAGGGATATTTCCTGATACATAGACTGTGAATTTTTTTTTCAAACAACCCACTCCCATTAATTAACTTTCCAAATTGAAGACTTTATCTGACCAAATTTTTTTTTTGAAGACTTTAAAAGTAAATTGCGTTAAAAAAAAAAAAAACTACACGACCTTTGTACCTTATATATGTCCATATTCGCACATAGTTCATATGATTTAAGCATTTAAGCATCACCTTGCACAATAATCTATATAAAGTATCATAACTTTATGTTCTATCGTTGAATGAGGTCTACTTACCACAATTGTTTATTAATTATTTAAATATAAAAGTCTAAGGAATACTAAACAAGTTCATATTATGATGACAGTTAGTGCTATAATTGGAAAATTTTCTTATTTAGTTATTTAACAATCGCCTTAAGGATACTTTTCAACGAAACCTATTTCCGACCCAAATAAAAAATCGAAACCTATTGATATGGAAATCATACGATCAAAGGGACATAAATGAGAACAATACTTGATTTTATTTATCGAATTGCAAGGGAGATTGCGCACTTCTCCCTCTGTTTTCATCCACTGGAAATGCACGAGGAGCAACAAATATATTCCAATACTACTGTTAATAAGATAAAGTCTCTAATATCTAAATCATCTTTAAATGACTTATCAAAAAATATATTTATAAAATGAAGAAAAAATGAGAATGCCTTATATTATATATTCTTGTGCATTAATTTCTGGATGGATCATCTAGCTTGTGCGACTTGTTCTATATAATTATCACTTAAACAGTTGTTCTATATAATTATCACTTATAACAGTAAAGTTGGATTTAAGGTTTGGGAAAATGACAATAACACTGCCATTACTATTTAGGTGATCAATTAAGTACCATTAATAAAAAAGAACGTTAGCTTAAATGACCTCGATGATTTTCCCTTGCTTGAAAATCTGACATGGCATTAATTTAATATAAAATCGTCCAACATGACTCAAAAAATGATGAATCAAGCATATAGAACAACGTCCGACATTCTTTTCCTTGCTCCAAACTGACAATTTGGGACTAAAGTAGGTTGCAGTCAACCTGCAGAACAAGCATTGCATCTAGACCAAACAGCAAAAGTGGTGTTCTTACATCAACACAAAGTGAACCATTTACTGCTTAACCATCTGTTTGGTCTGAGCGCAATGCTCCATCTTCACATTGTCTTCGTCTTCCTCTTCTCTCTCAAGTCGCCCCCACTCGCTCGTCCATACACTACAGAAAGGGATTATATGGATTGAGAACAGTGAATTTCAGAGGGATAAACTTCTCGCAAAATATAAGATGGATGGGTGGTTTCCTGAGTTATTATTGGTTTTGATTCACTTATGACAGTACATTTGGCTTCTGCGTAATTTACTTTTGGTAAGAAAACCATCGTCTCATGGTTTTGTCTTGGGTCTTTGGAGATTATTATTATCATTATTATGTTCAGAAAATGGTGTGAGAAATTGACACGTGTGGTTTAAATCTCGAATCATTTCGTAATTAGGTTAATTAGCTGCATAAATGTCAATTAGTCTGACATCCTTTTGTGAGAAATAGTTTTTCTCAATATAAAGAATGACTTTTATGCTCCCGCCTTCTCACTATCCACGGTAGATGTTCACTTAGGCAATGTTTAATCTCCGTCACACACACTGGCAGCCTCTGATGGCCACATCAGTCATAGGGACTTGATTAGATATTTTATGTAATTAGAAGAACCTGATTAAAAAATTAAAAGTATAGAAACTTTGATTAAGAAAAAAGTCAAAAGTATAAGGACGAAAAGTGAAATTTTTACCGAAGAAAATTTGGGTTGACAACTTTCCTAGGCCTAGCCTGGCAGGACCAAGCCAGGTTTGGGACACCTCTTGAGTTGCCAAAATCATTTTTTGTTAATTTTTGATAAATGGGATATAGGTTTAGGCTAGAGTTCTATTTTCTAATTTTTTTTGTCCTTTATCTGTGAACTTAAACGAAGCTTCTATTTTGGAAAAATTGCACCTCAAGTGTTTTGTTCATCAAAAGGACTTCATCAGGGCACTTTTTAAAAAAGACACTTGAATCAATTAAAAGATTTATGATTTCGTGTATAAATTTTAAAATTTTCAGTATATTTTTACCCTATTCATAACTATGCATATAAGAATTTAGTACAAAATATCTACTCCGCTACTCTTTTCATAAAGGAAAACAAAATTACAAGTAAACCCCATGAAATGCGTCGTGATCGAATTCCAGTTCAAGCTGGTCTAAAATTCTGTCTTAATCCTCGAAGCTTCCCTCTCTCCCCAATTAAGTACATCAATCAATGTCATGTTTTCAAACTATTAGCTCGCGCTTTTCTTCTTTGGTTCTTTTGACAATGCTGTTAGATATAATAAAATTGAATTTGGTTGAAGGAAAAAAAATCTAAGTTGGCTTCTTTAAACCGCCAATGAAGAGTTTGGGTCAAGGTAGGACTATTTTTTTAACTTTGAAATGACAAGGGAAAGCCAACTGGCTTGCCTCCATGTCAAGTCGGGCAATCTTCCCTTTCATATTGAAACGGTTGAACTTCAAGAGGCGGCGATGCATATATAAATATACGTAAGAGTTTGTTTAGTCAGTCGAGCATAGAGAGCGAGAAAGTTAAAGCTCAGACAAGAGCTTGTAAAGTTATGGTTGCAAGAGTGTGGTGCGTTTTCCATGTAAAGCCTACGCGAAAAAAGGCATTTTGAATCTATTTCTCTTTCCCTGAGTATTTGTGTGCTCTTTTCACCAAAACTTTCGAAGTTTCTATATCTTTTTGATTCCAACAAATGCTACAAACAGTGTGACATCTTTGGATTAACTCATTAAGGTATTGTCCGCTTTGGCCCGTCTTATACCGAGCTTCACGGTTTTGTCCTTTGATATACAGGTGAACACATTCCCATAATGTCACCTATCATAGGAGTGCTCTCACCTGAACATGCTTAATTTTGGAGTTCTAAAACTAAGCATTGTCGTTGCTCAAAAGGTGCCTCCATGAGTTGAATCTAGTTCTCCCCCCCCCCCCCACACACACACACACACACACATCTCAGAATCGCTCTTCCTCTATTTCGTGCACAATTCGGTTGATTCATGCCACTTTTGTCATCCTAGAAGCTTGCCAGGAGCTTCTTCTTATCCAGGCCCTTTGGCCTTAGCTTCCACTTCCTACCCTCGTTGGACCAGGTTATTATAAATAGAGTGTATCTTCAAGTAGGTCCCTAAATTCCTCTCTGACTCCATATTTACTGGCAACAACACTCAACACCTGAAGGCTTCCATGGAGAAAGCACTCGGAAACTTTTTCTCCATTGGAAAATGCACCAATAATTAAAATTAGAAGCGATGATATTACCACTTGCTCATGTAATGGTGACGTCGATTGTAAATCCCGGACGACATCCTCGGCTGCTGTGTGTGAACAATTTCTTGAGTTTCTTGCCGCCAACCTCTCTTTAGAGCAATTATAGGGTAAATTGATGTGGAACTTGGAACATATCGTCATTATATATTTCTTTGATCATGGAAATATCTACGTTGACTACTATGGTGTTAGTGTTTGATTGATTAACACGTGTCTCAGTTAAATTATTGTTGCCTAGCGCCCTCTTAGGTTTGACGTCAATGTTTTGACATTGACCGAGGGAAAATCTCTCCCTCTTCTCTCCGATCCTCGCGAAGGAGGAATATGATACTTTATGATCTTCTTTCCTTGTGACGAGATAATTTTAGATAGGGGTAAGTGGTTATAGGTTCCTTACAGATTTCATGTGAAACCTAGAACCTACCTTCATGTATAGGTTTCCCATTTTTTGGAACCTGGAATCTACCCGTTGAAAGCTGGAACCTAGAACCTATCTTGTCACAAGTTCCAGGGTAAGTTCCAGGGTTTAACAGGTTCTTTTTTTTTTTTAATTATTTCATCAAAATGAAAATGAACGCCACAATACTTAACAAACTTGTCATTCATAAAAGAGAAT